CCTGTGTCCTGCACATTTCCCCAGCCACAGCTCCCACATCCCCCAAATCCTCCACTGCAGAGGCTCCCACCGCCCCCCAACCGCCCCGGCAGCAGCCAGACCTTTTCTGGCCACGGCTCCTGCATCCTGCAGATCACAGCTCCCGTGTTCCCCCAGATCCTCCCCGCTGCATGTCGTGTGTACCACCAAGTCTTCCCGCCCACAGCCCCCGTGTTCTCCTAAATCCTCCCAGCCCTGCACCTCCCCACCCAAAACTTCACTGCCGAAACTACCACCACCCCCGAGCTCCCGTCCTCCCCGACTCACCACGACCTGCTCATTGACCTGCACGATCTCGTCTCCGGGTAGGATGCGGCCCCCATGGGCAGCCAGGGCCTGGGGCAGAGGCAGGGTGGGAGTGGGGTGCCCAGCCCCGGGCGCTCACACCCCACCCACCCCCCAACTAATCCACACTCCAGAGCTCTCCCGGGTGGGGAGAACCGGGGTAGGGGGGTTAACCATTAACCAGCAGCCTGACCTTGCACAGCACCAGCCAGAGCTGCTGGTGGGGTCTGGATGTGCAGGGGGGTTCCCACCACAGCCCAGGCTGTGCTCACTTTGTGAGACGAGTTGCACGGTCTCAGCTGGAGGCAGCCACCCCAAGCTCTGGGGCTGGGGGAGTGGATTAGGGCCCTAAGAGGCTCGCAGGATCCGGCCAGATGGGTTGCAGTTGGGATGGGTGGTATTCAACATGGCAGATACTAAAAGGGGGTGACTGACGGACAGGGTGGCATGAGGGGGGTGACAGACTGGGAGGGGCAGCCCCTCACTCACCTCTGAGGTGGTCGCAGACACAAAGTGCAGGCAGGAGCTGGTGGAGGTGATCTCGAGGCCCTGGGGGCACAGGAGGGAGGCATGAGTGGAGTGCAGGGGGTGCCGGGACAGTGGGGGGCATCAGGGCAGTGAGGACTCACCAGTGGGGCGGTAAGGAGCGGCAGGGGGGTCCCCTGGGGGTCAGAGGGCAGCATTGGGGTGTCAGAGGATGTCAGGGAGCTCCTCCGTGGGCTGGGGGGCAATGTTGGGGTGTCAGGGGATGTTGGGGGCCTCCCCCACAGGCCAGGGGGCAGTGTCAGGGGGGCAG